ACATTCTCTGGTGTGTATGTCCGTGATGACCTTGTGTGTCAAGTATGACATTCTCTGGTGTGTATGTCCGTGATGACCTTGTGTGTCAAGTATGCTATATGGCCCCCTCCACATTGTCTGGTGTGTATGTCCGTGATAACCTTGTGTGTCAAGTATGCTATATGGCCCCATACATATTCTCTGGTGTGTTTGTCCGTGATGACCTTGTGTGTCAAGTATGCTATATGGCCCCATACATATTCTCTGGTGTGTATGTCCGTGATGACCTTGTGTGTCAAGTATGACATTCTCTGGTGTGTATGTCCGTGATGACCTTGTGTGTCAAGTATGCTATATGGCCCCCTAAAAAAAAGAAAACCGTCAAAACTGACATGTTTTCTAGTAAAAAAAACCCTGCCAAATGACGCATTCTTTAGTATGTGTCTGGGATAACCCTGTTGTGGTGTGTGATGTTTGCTGTGTGCTGAATGGTGAATGCTGTATAGTGTATGATGTATGCTGTACAGTGTATGTTTGATGTATGTTGTACAGTGTATGCTGGATGCTGTATGTATGCTGTACGGTGTATGCTGTATTCCCTCAGGCGCTGGGTCTTCGGAAAGACGACACGTTCTCCACCACCATGCTGAGCAACTGTCTGGAGGCGCTGATGGCCCAGGTCTCTCCCTGCGACGGTCAGTTCTTGTTTTCACCTTGACCCTTTCCTTCCACCTCCAGCCCCCCCCCCCCCCCCCCCCCCCATGGGTGGTTGATAGGTGCTGTGGTGTGGTTTGCTCCTTCTTTCTTACCAAACATCTGTCATCCTCATCTCTCCTCCTTTACTCAAAAGTTACTTTCCAGTAACACTTCTAATTCCCCCCTCCCCCACCCCGCCACGACCTCTTAGCACACACATATAAATTAGTAAAATCTGTGTCTTTGCATCATGGAAGACTTAAGCTTGAGTTGCCCATTCTGGATTGTTCCTCAGTCAGTATTTTCTTCTCTCAGATCTCTGTCACTCGGACTGGTTGGTTGACTCGGTGAATTAAAATAATATAACTCACTTGAGCCTGTTCCCGTGTTTTTAGGGTGTGTGTATTTACGGGATGCGCTTTATTGATCGATATCTCCTGTGTTTTCCGGTAACAAGCTACAGGAAGTGGGGAGCCAACTGTCGATCCTCTTGTTTTATTTCATTAAAAATTTGGTGAAGTTATGTCCAATACTTTTTAATCTGTCACTGACTAAGTCAGTCGCTCACGCCTTGTGATAGATGAATTTATAACAAATGGGGCGCACAAAAAAATGACATACCCCCAGACATTGCCATTTCAAAATATTGATGAAATAACAATTGATCTGACAAATTAGATGCAGTTTTATTTTTCTATGACTGCATTTTTTTCTTTCTTTAGTTGCATTAAATTTTATTTTAAATTCTGATAGCTTTCAGCCTTTTTGTGGTATTGGATATTCCCCAAAACTGTGAGCTGCAATGGTTGCTGGGTGAGAAATAGCCGAGGCTCAAGTGAGTTAAAGAGAATCGTTTGTGTATATTTGATTGTGAAACCAGACCGGTCAACTCTGTGAATCAAATAGCCAATTTTGCGTATATTATTCGTTTGTGGGAGCAGGTGACCTCGAAGAGCCACATTTCCCCTCAGTCTCCATGAAGGACTCAGCCTCGTCCAAAGAATCATCGGCCCGCGTCGTCAAACTGACGGAGTTGTTCCACGATAGCCAGAAGGAAGAAGAGGAGGGTGGCAGGGGAGGAGGAGGAGGAGTGAAGACGGAGCTGGACACTACAGACACCGACCCTTTTGCCGAGAGCAGTCTGTCGATCGAGGAGATAGAGATGGAGGATTGCTCTTCTTGATGGAACCTTCTAGATATAATGTATATATATTCATTCTATGGGCAGTGTACATTGATGTAAATGATGAGTGAGTGAGTGAAGAAGTTTGTGATAAAACAACACGCAGCGGAGTGGCTCAAATCGTCCCCGCCATAAGAGAAAGACACTGCTGACTGGCCACAATACTCTTGCAATTTTTAGTGCACATTTCCTACCTTGATGTTCAATTATAATCACTTTCCAGCAGGGGCTGGTTTAGAAATGTGTGGTACAATAGTCTAAAAATAGGTTGATTGTAAAAGTTCAAGGGCAACAGGTAACTCAGTGCAAACTAAACAGTACAAAAGGATTCTTCTTTCCTTTTTTCCCTTGTCACTGTCTAATCTAATCTGTTGAACTCGAAGAACTTCTCTGATCCCGTGACGTTTGTGTTTTCAGGTGTTTACTGTACTTTTTTTTTTTTTTCAATTCCAAAAGAAGAATTTTTCTGCTAGTAGTGCTAAGTACGTTATTAGTAGTGCCGTAAGTTGACAAAACACCTTTTTTTATTCACAGCAGTTTTAGTAGTGCCGTAAGTTGACAAAACACCTTTTTTTTATTCACAGCAGTTTCGTGAAAAAGCTTCAGTGTGTCAGCGCAACCATTCAAAAATAGTGTTCTTCCAAAATCTGAATTCTAATTCGTTCAGAAACTTGCCTCTGTTTCACTTTGATTTCTTCCCACAAGTAGTCAAGTAGGGCAACTGATCAGGCTTTCCGTTTAGCAAATAAAACATTTTGGCGTCAAAATGAAAAAAGGAGTTTTGTCAGCTTACAGCAGTAATAGTAGTAAAGCTCCGTGTAGTTAGTAGGCTACTTGGCCTGAGGAACTTGATCATATTGTTGTTTTAATTCCTAAATCTTGGTTCTTTTGGCACTCTGGACAACATGGCTGTCACGGGTAGACATACATGGAAGTAGTAGCGAGACTGTTGTGTTTTTCTTATGGTTTAGGGAAGTTGATCACCTGATGGTGGTATGTGAGCTCTTCATTCACTGAGAGTGGTTTGCTTTTGTGCCACACACTGTGAACTGGCGTCTGTGGTGTAGCGCTTAGGATAAGTCAGAAGCTTTTCCATTGCACGCAGAAGATATGAGTTCGATTTTTCCTGGAGCCTATGTGGGGAGAATTTTTATCCAGCATCTCCGACTGTGTGCTGGGATATTGTATCCTTCTCAGCCAAGGTTGGCTCTGACAGGCAGGCTTGAAGTAACCCGCCTTCTAAGTGTTCATGGGGTTGTAAAAACATCTGAATCACTCGCTGATCATTTGAGTTAGAAGTGCGGGCGGAAAAGCCTCATTATCTCCGTCCGTCTGCTGGAACACTGCATCACTGATGCAGCCAGCTTCCTAAATGTTGTAACTTGTGTGGGGAAAACACAGTGTAATGTCTCCTGTATGTCACATGATGATGTCATTACAGCTTTGTTTGTGTGCCCGGCGATGTCATACCACATGACGTCAGCTCGTCCAACATTGACGATCAAACAAACAATAAACAAACTCAAGTCGTCACGTGTTGTTGTTCAGTGCATATTTTAAATCACAAAGCAAAAACTCTTTAAAACTCTTTTCATCATTTATACAATCGCCTCCAAGTCCAATAACACAATGGGACATGCACACAATGACATTTTTGTCAAAGCTGAAAGAACTGATTTGTGTATGAAATAGCATCAAAGTATTAAAAGGAATCAGATTTTCGTTCCGACTCGATGTGAACAACTTCTCACCAAACTTTGACGCAGAATTATTTCTTTTCTTCTCTCTTGACAAATGACACATGTGTGCACACATCCTTGACAAATGACACATGTGTGCACACATCCTTGACAAATGACACATGTGTGCACACATCCTTGACAAATGACACATGTGTGCACACATCCTTGCTAAGGAATTCTTGTAGCATTAGAAAGACACACAATCGGGAGGTGTTCGTGAACATAGAAAAGACTTTGCATGAATGAAGCATGGTCAATGTTCGCAGCCTAACATGTACAAAATGTGGGTATGTCAACAATTGACATGAAAAGGTGAGACAGACCACCGACTTGTTTACAGTACAAAAATAAATAACCACTCACTCAACACTGTGCATTTCGTGCTGCAAACAGCCACAACTCCGAATACCGGTAGTTAAAATGGCAAGTCCTGATCCTATAATTAAAGACAAAAAATAGGCGTGTGTGGTCCCCCCC